TGAGGGGGCTGGTGTGAGCAGTTAGAATGGGGGCAAGAATCAAATGCAAGGTGTGGCGCTCACACCTGCTCATCAAGGTTATGGAACGCCTCAAGGTGGCGACCTTCACACCCATTGCTGCAGGTTGCCTCAAGGTAGCCACTGTGATGATTGAGGAAAAGGCTTAGGGCATGGGAGAAAGAAAGAAAGCAGGTCTGGGGACCACGTCTGGAAAGAACAGCGGGTGTGGTTCCTGGAGGACTGACTACTGAGTTGGAGAGTCGCTCTGCCAAAAAGGAAAAAAAAAAAAGATTGTGGAAAAGCCTGTGCTTATTTGAGACCTTTAACCCTATAAAGACCCGGAGATCCCAGCCTTTTGCAGGGAGCAAACAGGCTGAGAAAGTAACTGCCAAGAAGGGCGCACTTTTCGAAGCCCACTTCAGAAGTGGCCCGAGAAGCCACGCACAAGGAAGGACCTGCTGAGGCGTGTGCTTGGGGAGCCGTCGGCAAGGCATGCTCTCCCGAGAGCAGGACGAAGGATGTGACATCCGTCAGCAGAGTCAGGGAACATCCTCCAGGGTTTCAGAGTGTCTGCGAACCTGGGACTACTGGTGCCTCCCGTTTCCCTCCTGTTTGAGTGGCACGCTAAGGCTGTCGTCCTGTCCTGGTAGCACCAGCACATGTGGAGACGGCACCTCACCTGAACTTTCAGACCAGCAGTTGGCAGACTCCTGCCCGCTGGCCAAATCCAGCCCAGTGCCTGTTTTTGTAAATAAGGTTTGGTTGGGACACAGCCATGTCCATCACACACAGATTGTCCCTGACTTCTCCGGGGGCTGCCATGGCAGAGTCGAGTAATTGCAACAGAGACTTCATGGCCCACTAGCCGACCATATTTACTTTCTGGCCCTATAAGAAAAAGTGTGCCGGTACCTGTTCTCGAAAGATGGTCCTCTGGACCAAGAGGACCAAATGCTGGGTGCATTTGAGCTGGGTGGATGGACCCTGGAGTCACGAGAAGGAGACGGCCTGGATCCCTGAGTCACCCCCTGGAAAGTGCTGCCTTGGAGAGTGGCCTGACGTGCATCAGACTGTACGAATGAGATAACAGCCGCTGTCGGGTTAGAATGCTGAGATCTGGAGATTGGTTTGGGGGTTGCCACAGCTGAAAGCAGCACTTTGACTGACATGCTATACATCGCATCTGTGTCACAGTTTGTGCTTGTATGCAGTTGATGTTCAGTTATCCAATTTTATATTTAGAGTATTAATAGCCTCCCACACTACGTAAAAATAGTCTTTGAAAACATGTCCTTAATAACTTTCTGATATTTCCTTGGATTATTTCATTGATGATGGTACCTACCCCGGAAGGCGTGGTGAGAAAGACAGCGCCCTGCACTGTGTGTCAAAGGGTGGCAGCACTTGTCCTGAGATGTAGCTCCACAGCAGGGTTGTCCCCTGTGAGCCAGTAATTCTGTTTCGGGACGTGCACCCTCAGGAAATGGGAAGAGATGTGGGCCAAAACTTATGGACGAAGATTTTCATTTTAGCTGTATTTATAATATCAAAATCAGAAGTCGTCTCAATGTCTAACAGTAACCAAATAGTTACATAAGTGACAGTGCTCCCTAGGCACTGCCTGTTGTTGATGTTTCTTGTTTCGTGTCAGATGCCTGCAGCTTGAGACACGGAACATGGGTCTGATCTAATAACTGGCAGATTGGACGCCTCTGTCTTCCACACTGTACCCATTCACTCCCTGCTGACAGCCTCGGATTATGGATGGGGCCGGCCAATGTTTGTCTCCTTTTCATTTCCTTGGCAACTCATGACTTCTGGCTGCAAAGATTCTTCAGATGGGCTCTTGGACATCAAACAGCTACAGCCCAGCATTTGCTTACATAAAGTGCAAATGAATCATGAACACGTGGATTATATTTTCGTTCAAATGCTCAGGGATTTCAGTTTATGGGAAGAGGGCTGTACGAATTAGCACTAGGCTTGGGAAATGGGTTGATCAGATCCCTCTGCTCTTCCCTCCTCCCCCAAATCCCCTCCTTAGCACCCTAGAAATGGCAGCTGTTTAATTCTAGGGGTACCAAAAGTTATTCTTCCCTCCGAAAAACACGGGAGGGGAGAGGCCGAATGAGTTTGTCAAAGGTTCCCGGGTTTATTGGTTTTGTCCCAAAGCCAGTGAAGACTAAACAGAACGCAAAATGGACCCTCCCTTTTCCTTGGCTTCCGTGTTGGAACTTCCTTAATTTTGAATCTCTCTTTAGTCTCTTCTCTGCCGTGATGTTGCCCATCCTCTCCATCTCTTGTCCCTTAAATGTTGGGGTTTCCCAGGGCTCCGCCCTGAGCCCATAGCTCTGACCGTGATGTCTAGGTTATTTTCAGTCTGAACTCCCGGCTTCAGCTGGTTCTATACACGGGGGATGCTCTAGTTACTTCCCCCGGCCCGGGTCTCTCTTGACCTCCGTGTCTACACCCATTTGCCCACCGGGCGTTGCTGCTCACTGGGGCCCACAGATGCTCCAAACTCACTTTGTCCACACTTCAGTCCTCCCCCACCCCCACCATCTCATTCCAGCCATTCTCCCTGCCAAAGGTTCTGTTTCAGTACCTGGAAGTACCAATCATTCAGTCCTCCATGCCATTATTCTATTAGCTCAGAAAACTGAGTTTTCCTTGTATGCCAGGTACTGAGTCAGATAAGGGGACACGGAGATGAGTAAGACCTAGTGCCTGCCCTCTTTTTTTTTCTACACGGTGTGGGAAAGGGGCACATGTCACAGCGCAGGCGGGGGCACTCAGAGGAGGGTTTTAGCAGGGCGATGCCCGAGCTGGGAATTCAGGGGTGAGTTGGATCGAGGAGGAGGAGGGGAGCAGCATGTGCACAGGCATGGAGGTGAGAAGCAGCAGCTGGGAGCAGACGCACGTTTCATCGTCGTTGGAGCAAGGACTTTGAGGCCGCTGAGGGCTTCGCCGAGGCTGCAGGGCATGCAGAGGCTACATAGTAGAACCCCTTTCAGAGGTTTGGATTTTATCAGATCGTTTAAGTGGAGTCTCAGAGCAGGGTTCAGTAGAAAGTATACAGCTCTGATTTCTGTGGCTGTGGGAGAGGACGGATTTGAGGAAAGACAGAGGAAGGTAGAGGGGCTAGGAGAGCCGCGGAGTTCTGTCCAGCAAACTGGACCACGCTGACTCGAGGTAGGAAGAGCAGAACTCAGCCCTCCAAAGGGTGTGCTTACATGTTGGCGTACTATCTATCTACCTGCTTGGGGGCTTACTGTGGCCTTTGACCTTGGTTCCGGTACCCAAGTCATTCCCGTGCCCTTCACCACTCCGAGTCCCCTGTTGCTTCCTGGGCACTTGCCTGGACTGCTGCTGGAGCCACTGTCCTCCTTGTTCCCTGTGCAGCAACAGATGGCCTGGCCGAACCTCCGTGGTCAGCCAGTCAGCCAGACGGTGGTCACTGGTATCTGTCCGTAACATGTCAATTCCTTCCTGCCTTTTTGACTAGGTTGGAGGAGGGAACCACGCTTCAGCAGAGGCATTCTGCATGTGATGCTGACCACGGCTTGCCCGGATTAATAGACGTGATGAATGCAAAGTGATTAGGACAGTGCCTTGCACACACAGAGACTCAGGAAGTGGTAACATCTTCACCATCATCATCACTGTCATCATCCCCATCATCACCGTCACCACCACCACCACCACCACCACCATCATCACCGAGACCATTATCACATCATTACCTTCATCATCCTCATCAGTGTAGTTTATTACAGTTATAATTACATACAGTCTCTCCATCTTCCACTGTCCAGGCCCAATCTCAATGACTGCATACCATCATATAGAACTCAGAGCAGCTGGTGTCGTGAATCCAAGGCTCTGGGACCACAGCAGGCAGGGCTTCTGATTAGGGAGCAGGAGCAGGACCAGGTAGAGGGCTGGCCCTGAAGTGGCTTCAGGCAGGCAGGGCTTCTGATTAGGGAGCAGGAGCAGGAGCAGGAGCAGGAGCAGGTAGAGGGCGGGCCCTGAAGTGGCTTCACGAATGCTGACACCACTGTGCTGTGTCCCTCCTACCAAGAAGTGGCTTGGGTCAGACCTGTGAGGATGAAGAGGATGGTGCCGGAGGGCGGGCACGTGAGCTGCCTTTGCTGGTCCCCCCACAGCATGGTGCCCAGCTCGCTGCCAGGGCCCGGGAAGCCCTTGTTACTTGAATTGACTTCCCGATGCTACATGTTATTGTGAGCGTCTTCCCTGGCCTGTGCTTACTGCTGGGTGGCTTTTGGGGACTTATATGTAGTCAACTTAGTCTCGTGGAACTTTGCATATTGGCTATGGGTAAACACTGAGAAGTATGTGTGTGTGTATGTGTATGTAATTGTATATACACACATAATGCGAAACATACATACATGATGCAAAATTTTTGCAGTGAAACGACAAAGTTTTCAGAATAAAGCATTTATATCTTCGGGTCTGAAGAAGATATCTTGTGATAAGTTAGAAACACGAGATATTGTGGACGTGCTTTCAGAAGTACAAAGTGCATGAAAGATCGACAGAGTAAGTCCCATCAGCCTCCGCGATGTGCTGGGTCGTCTCCCTGCTTGGCTTCTGTGGACAAAGGGGACTGGCCAGGGTGTCTCTGGGCTTCTCTTTCTCATCTCGGTGTGCAGCAGTCTGGTCACTAAGGGCTGGTCGAAAGGGGTTCTGGTGGCAGAGAAGTGGTTGTCTTGGGTGACCTTTAGGCCTCTCGTCATCTGCGATTCTTTGTCCTTGAGCAAGTCATGCTTCCTGCTAGGGCTCAGCACCCCTGTGTGTGTGATGAGGGGGTCGCTTTAGGACTGGGGTTTCCGGATGTGCCCAGCAGAGCTCTGGGGTTGGGGGAGGGCTGCTGAGGGTAGTAAAGGGGGAGGCTGGGAGCCAGGGCAACAGACCCGTCACTCTGCCTTCAGCCACAGCAACTTCGCATTGATCTGTTTTATGTACCGATGTTCTAGGTAAGATGTTTGAAAAGAGGGATCTGGTCCTGTTAAAAGCTTGCAAACCGTGTGGATTGCTCATCCGCAAGCCCTCCCAGTGTGACTTCGTGGTTCCATGATGATGCTCACCCGAGGCCTGGAGTGGATACCAAAGATGACTGCCTTGCCATCTGGGGACAGCTGGGGTAGGTCCTTCTCACTGGTGCATCAGTCTGTTGTGTTCTTGATTAAGAAACTGTAATAAGCAGTTTTCTGGTCTTTGTATGAAAACACTGGTGTCTCACCTCCATTACTTTCTGGTTCTGTGACCTAAGTCCCTCCACCTCTCTGAGCCCCCACCTCCTCATCTGTGACATGGGCACATAGGAGTATACTGTGACATGGGACAGTGGGACAGGGTTGACCGTCATCGTTAGGTGGTGAACAGTTAAGCAGGCTTTGTGGTTTCCAGCACTGTCGCAGGTGACCTGACGCATGTCCAGACTGTCTCCTGAGAGCTGGGATTACCCAGTCTAGGTCAGAGAACCAGTCTGTGCGTTTGCCCTTCTTTCAACATTGTAGGAGGCTCAATTTGTTCTTAAAATAAATGTTCAAAAAATTATAAAACATTTTAAATGTCACACATGCTGTGCCCCTGGCATGATAGGCTGTCTTTGTAATTTTCTGAGTATGAAAGTAAATTTTAAAGGCAATGAAAATTCAGAAATGAATGGATTGGTTGAACAAGAAAATTGATTTTTAGCTGTATTTACGATGCTCAGGAGTGAAGGTGTTCAAGTTAATGATTACACACTGGGCTGGAAAATAGTCTACTGGCTTTCACCAAGCCACCCAGGCCCCCTTGGGGTCATTGTCATGAGGCTGTCACGTGTTCTTCCATGCAGCGTGGCAGCTCCGTCTCAGAACGTGTGGGAAGTGGCCAGGGTTTGAGAGACAGTGCTGGCCTCCTCTGCCATAGAGCAGGCCGCTCGCTACGCAGAGCCCTGATGGAGGGGGAGCAAGGCCTTAGAGGGCTGCGGCCTTGGGACGGGGCTATCTGCGAGGCTCAGCCCTGAAGGGTTAAATGTGACGTGGGGGGCCAGGCGAAGGGAACCAGGAGGAAGTGGACTGTGGGCCTGGCCCCGCGACCAGCACGGACCCAGGGCGGGGTCGGGACTGGCGGAGCTGGACTTGGTCCCAGCCCGGGAAGGAGCCTGTGAGGAACCTGGTGGGGTGGTGGCCTGTGGTTTGGAAGAATGGAGCAGGGCAGGCTGCACGGTCCAGCCTCTGGGTAGAGACCGCTACCCGAGATGGAACGGACGGTCAAGGGCAGCCTGCACTCAATGGAATTGAGAGCGGGCTTGGCCGAGCAGGGAAATGGGAAGACTCAGGCCCTGTGCCCACTGCCGTGAGGGTCATCCTGGGCTCAGCAGCCAGGCTTTCTGAGCCCCCAGCAACCTGGCTACCTGGTCAGAATTAGCTCAGGACTGGGTAGGGCCCACTTTGCAATGGGAGGTGTGTGTCTATAACCCTGAGGGGCTGGGGGACACAGGAGCCAGCCAAGGAAGGGGACCTGATCCTCTGATGTGAGCACAGTCCAGAGGGGCCACTGAGTGCATCGTCCTAAGACCCTAGTCCTGCGGGGCCAGCAAGGGGGCATTGCTGGTGGAGGCAGAAGCCAAGCCGGGGACGGGCGTCAGAACACACACAGGTGGTCGGGTTGCCTCTCTCCCGGGGATTTCGCTAGTGAGAGGCGGGACCCCCTTTCTTTGTTGCAGACCTCGTGTGACATAAAGCTGTTCCCTCAGCCCCCTGATGCGTGTGTGGGAAGTGCTCTGGCCTCCCCAGGACTGCGGCTTCCTGTATATATCCCCCAC